AAGCAAACAGAATAAAATGTTCACAATAGTAAAGATATACCAGTGTTCCTCGTATTATTTTTATTTTTATTTTTTATTTATTTATTTATTTTTTTGTCTTTTTTCCGTGTCCGGCAACGGATCGCAACCCTCAGTGTTGCCCCCGTACCGGACTGGGGACCGGCAACGGGATCGCAAGCCTCGGTGTTGCTCCCGCGCCTCGCTCAGCCAGTGAGCGGGAACCGGTCTGTATATGGGATCCGAACCCTCGGACGGGAGCGCCGCCGCGCTTCCCAAGCGGCGCACTATCCAGTGCGCCACCGGGCCGGCCCCTAGGAGGAACTTTTTTAGGAGATAAATATGTGTATGAATAAAGAGAAACTAAAAGACTTAAACTAGACTTTCAAATTCCTTAATAAGGTCTGTACAAGGGGTTATTTTAAAATCACAACAGAATTAAAGGAATTTACACTGTGTAAAAAGAACTGTTTTGAAAAATAAAGTGGGGATAAAGCACCACTTCTGTAATGCTGGTAGAGTCGCGATATGAAGTAAGGAGGTCATAGTGCAACCTTGAGGGTTTCAGTGGCACTGTTATCTCAGGCCAGGACATACCAGCTCCCTGGAGGTAAACTGCAGGAAGACAGGGTGAGGCTCTTTGGTCAGAAAACCAGCTGAGTGAACTTGATGTTGTGCGGGTACGGTGCATTTAGGGTGATGTGAATAATATTTGCAGGGAGATAAGTCTAATCCTCCTGAAGACGTTCCTAGTGCAGTTGTGGTCCTGGAAGGCTAGGAGTGCAGGACTGTGTCAGAAAGGACGTTGCAGAATGTTGTGTAGTGTAGTGGAAAAAATACTGGGCTTAGAGTCTAGAGACTCGAGTGGGAGATGTGGCTCCATCATTTACTAAGTTTGCCACTGTGAGCCCTTCAACTTCTCTGTGGCTTTACTATCCATAGTGTGGGACAGCTGCACCTGCCTCATACTGAGTTCCAGTGGGGATCACGTGAGAGAACGAATGTGAAAACTCTTGGTAAAATAACACAACAGAGCTATGCAGTGTTTTCTTATGGGAAACAAAACTGAAAACATCGTACCCTGAAACAAAACTCCTGTCTCTGATCCTGAACTCAGAGTTTGTAGAGTTGTGGTCTTTGTTCTATCCCGAGGAAACTGTAGGAGGTTTAGATAAGGTCCAAGGAAGAATAATTAAAATAATCAAGGTTCTTTTCAATCTGACCTGTCTGATGGATGCTCTCATCTGCAAGCATGAGGGCTGAGAGGGATTTTATGAAAAAGTTATAAAACCGTGAGGCATGAGGGCAGCATAGGCTGATTTGGTCACCAAATCTTGCATACTCTAGGACCAGATGGTTGCCCAGTGAAATTCGAAAGAGGCAAGTTTAGTGCTACTAAACAGGACAGTGCTCCACAACTGGTGCTAAATTTGTGAAATTTGTTATCCCCAAGAAGAATTAGTGTAAGTTAAAAATCATAATTACTGTAAATTCAAGGAAGTGTTAGATACATTCATGGACCTTTATCTTTTAGGACAGGCTTGGGGTGTTGCAGCATGCCTCTTACCTTTTGAGCTTGCTGCCATTACACTGTGTCCTCCTACACCTGTTCCCTGGTCATATGGTCTGAGGCAGAGTATTGGGCTGAGTGGCTGTGAGTCCAGCCCTGTACAGCAGTTCTTGGAATTGCAAGGTGAGCCACAGCGTCACTGAGTCCCTTGTCTTTTCTCAACCTGGCTGTGTTGGTGCCTTTGTAAGACGCAGCTAGATAGAGTCTGCCCAAGTTGGGACATGTTAACCTTTCTCAAAACACAACCTCTTTCATGAATCAAATTTGCATTTATATCCTGCCACAAACCACCTTCTAACCGTACTTTGGAACCATATTCAAGTCCTGCCATGGTGGTTTTGTCTTTAGTTCAGGTTTGACTAACTTGCTAATGACAAAAGCCTATGCTAGTGAGGCTTTTGTTCTGACCACTTGTTTATGTGTAGAGTGGTTTCGTCACTCCCCTGTGATTTGGTTTTCAAAATTGTGTTATTTTTACTATGTCTCTTTGGTCATGAAATAAGAGTTTTAGGTATGTATTGTTTATATACACATGTGTAGACTTTTTTTACCTGATGAGTCATTATGAAACAGAGTATAAGGGGCTGTTATCATTAGTCCAAATTTAGCTTTTCAAAGAGAACTGAGTTTAGTCCCTTTCTGGTTAGTCATGAGGAAAATGAGGTTCAGAGAGGCTTAAGTGACTTGCCCCAAGTCATACAACTGGTCAGTGGCAGAGCTGAGATTTGTGCAGCAGCTTCTTGCTGAGATCTTGCTGTGATTTGCCACTTCCTAGTTAGTGGTTAAAGAGGCACATTTTACTTAGGTGGTGTTTTTTGCTTTGTTTTTAGGTTTTACATTGACAGGAGGGATTAATGTTTATTGAGCATCTACTATTTAAATAACTTTTAAAATATGTTATTTCATGTAATTATTAAATAGTCCTGTGAACTGGTTATTAAAAGTCCCACTTTACAGATTAGGAAACTGGGGTGGAAGGTTAATAACTTGCTCAAAGTCATGCGATTAGTATTAGAACTGGTATTTGAGCCTTAGATCTTTCTGACCAGTTCCTGCCATGAGACCCACTGTGGCCCCTAGTGATGGTAGTTCAGACTCTTTCAAGGGCATGGGCTGTAGTGATGGTTTTCTTAAAAATACATCTTTTACAGATTTCTCACTCTGTAAAATATGTAGATGTACACAGATATATGTAGAACAAGCCTTTCTCACGGTACCCACAGTACTCAGCAGATGTTTGGCTAATCTTCATACCATCTCTGTGAGATAAATGGTGTTTTCTGGTTGGGCAGTTGAGGCGCAGATAGGCTCAGGGACTCACCCGGTTCCTTATCGCAAAGCCACATGGCCCAGCTCCCAGTTCCGGTCTTGGTCCTGTCTAGCATAGATTTCACCACTTTTGTTCTTTCCTGTCTTACACCAAGATTGTTTAAGTACTTCCCAAAAATAATGAGCCACGTGTGGGTGTGTTCATTCTCCAGAATGAATCACTGTGAAAGAGGCCATGAACCAACGAAAGGAGAATAAATATCTGAAATCAGAGAGACTCCTGACTCTTCTGCCCCACTAATTGATGGACTCTGAAGTGAGCTCTTTTTTAAAAGGCGGCTGTGGGTTTAGCCTTGTGTGTCTCACTGCGCTCAGAATAGTCCTCTCTTGAAGTTGTTAATTTTCCCTTTCTTGCTTCCCAAAATAGACCCAAGGCTGTTCTCTTTGCCGGACATCACAACACATGTATTGGGAGGTGTGCTCTCCACGGGAAACCTGTTTTGTGCCTGAATGTACATCCCCTCTCACACAAAGGGGAATGGGAGTTGGCTTTCTTGGATTAATGGGATTCTGGCATGAGTAAAAGAGATTTGGATCAAGTATTCTGAGAGTTGCAGATGTAAATTTAAGTTCGCAAGATGAATAAAAGAGGAGCAAATAAGGGTATTTGGGGGGAAAAACGAGATTGCTTAGTCTTTCTGTCTAAAAGGGTTGGAATTGAAGTTCAGGAGAAATTTACTTTTAAAATTCCTTTTATGATTTGGATCCTAGTCTAACAGGTACCTACTTTAAGCTTTCTGTTTTTAAGAAATAGCACTACCTAAGCTCTGCAGCAGGTAGCTGCATGTTTTGGAATTTCTCCCAGAAGAAAGGAATCTGATCAAATGTCGTGGAAAAAATACAGCAGGCATACAATGGAGATCTGCACTGTCTGTCTACCTGTCAGTACTGCCTCTCCTTTGTTCCCTTGGGTGGGAATGGCAAGGCATTGTCTCATTTATAGAAAGCCTGAAGAAGGAGGGTTGGACACTTGAGATATTTAGAATCTGCCTTTGGATTTGAAAAAGCCAAGAGATGCCTTCCAGACTATTGGAGGAAGAGACAAAGACAGACTATTTACAGCCTACACGGGTGAGTTATGACAGGCTAGCTTTTCATGGGACTGGTCATAAATGTCTCTTCTCTAGGAGCTTACCGAGAATGCACTCCCACTTGGGATCCAGACAGTATTCACTGTCTCCCATGCGGTCTGGGACTCAGGTGGTTCCTGCTACCTCCATCCCACATGAGTGAGGGCTTCACTCCATGCTGTGAATCCCAGCCTCAGTATCCTCAGTGGCCAGAGCCACACTCCTGCCCATCCTGAGAGGTCAGGGCTAGGTTAGGCTCATGGGAGACACTGTTGGGGAGAACCAACTGCTGCTGTCTGTGCTATTCTTGTTGGTTGGATAAATAAAGGATTTCGGATTCCAAGGGCTGCTGAACTGGCTTTCGGAGGCGCCAAATTCATTTACAGTAGTTTCCTGTCAGTGGGACACACTTGTGTTTGATACATACCCAGCAAGCCTCGCCAGTCCCAGAGGTGATTGTAGGCACTGCCTATGTGAAAAAAAATCCAGTGTGTATTTGCGTGCACACACACTCACTATCCAGTGGTCTTTCAGGATGGTTTACATTTATTGAGCACTTTTTAGGCACTATCTCATTTAGTCCTCACAATAATTTTATGAGGTAGGCACTAAAATTCCTCTCATTCAAGGATATCCTTTTCGCCCCTCATGAGAGGTGCACCCAAAATGGACTAGAGGGAGGAGGACAGCAATGGAGTGGTCAGGGAAAGCTTTTCAAAGGAAGTGACATTGGAGCTGAATTTGAAGAATCTGTAAGAATTGGGCAGGGGTGTGAGAGCAGGCCTGCTGCATCTGGGAACCTGCAGGCAGGCCTGGTGCTGAGAAAGGAGATGGGGTCAGTAACAACTCCAAGGAACCCTAGATGCTTTTGCATGGAGTGTGTGTGTAGAGGGGGGTGTCCTGTGTTCTCCTTCCTCTCATCAGGCATCTCAGTTTGAAGGGAACAGTAGTTGCTCCATTTCTTACAGGCATGAAATAGAACTTAGAGGGAACCAGTGAGGCCTTGAAAGCCTTGTTTGTGAGCTGGATAAACAGGTGACAAGGTTGTGTCCCAGTTGAAGATATCTTTCTGGCCCCGTCTCTATAAAAACTCCTTACTTTGGAACATCAAGTATGCTAAAGGATTATATTTAAGTTTGGAAGGGGACCCAGCAAAGATCTCACCGTCAGTGTCTGCTCCCAAATTTCCTGCAGCTCTGTGGTGTGCATGCACTAGCTGCCTACAGGCCAACTACACGTGTGAAACAGATGGGGCCTGCATGGTTTCCATTTTCAACCTTGATGGGATGGAGCACCACGTGCGCACCTGCATCCCCAAGGTGGAGCTGGTCCCTGCTGGGAAGCCCTTCTACTGCCTGAGCTCGGAGGACCTGCGCAACACTCACTGCTGCTACACTGACTTCTGCAACAGGATTGATCTGAGGGTGCCCAGTGGTGAGTGCACACCCTCGTGGGGCCAGTGGCTCATCTTGGAGGCAGGCCACCTCTGTCATGTCATCGTTCTCTACTTTTCCCCAGTCCCTTGGTTTGATGATAGGTAAAGGTGTCTTTTGGGTGGTCCCTAGGGTAACAGGGATGGGCTTTCTCCCACGTCAGTTTTGTAGATTAGAGGATGAGAAGGCAGATTTTCAAGTTGTCCCAGAGGTGCCAGCTATTGTTGAGTAGTGGCTGAGCAGCCATAGGCAGCAGTGAACAGTGGAAGAGCCAGGCAGGGATCCCCATGGGAGGATGTGGGGGACTGCTCTGAGAGGATGACCATCAGAGGAACGGGGCCAGAATTGGAAAAGGATGCTGATCAAGGATGAGAAGTACGACATACCATCCCTTTGCAGGTCCACCGTTTAGGAAGTATTACTGGGGAGGTCAAAGGAGTAGGGAGACTGGACCAGAGCTTTGAGGGGCTGTTCTAAGTTGAAGAGAAGAAACTGGCATATGTCTTGGAGGCTGAGCTGGGAGTAGTACCATGGAACATTGTGAGATTGCAAAGTGGGTTGTGAGTTTGACTGTTGAAAGGGGCACCTTCACTAAAGAACCTTGGAATTTGAGAGCATCTAGGTAGACAAACTAGCCCAGTAAGACCAGAGAGATCAAAGGAACCTGAACACACCAACAGGGAGAGGGTCTTCTCCACTTTGGGGGAGGTGCTGGGGATGAGTAAGGCCACGGCTTTCCCTTGTTTTTACTTAGTTCTTTCCCTCCCCTCTCACTTGACCCAGGTCACCTCAAGGAGACTGAGCACCCTTCCATGTGGGGCCCCGTGGAGCTGGTAGGCATTATTGCCGGCCCGGTGTTCCTCCTGTTTCTCATCATCATCATTGTTTTCCTGGTCATTAACTATCATCAGCGTGTCTATCACAACCGCCAGAGACTGGACATGGAAGATCCCTCATGCGAGATGTGTCTCTCCAAAGACAAGACGCTCCAGGATCTTGTCTACGATCTCTCCACCTCAGGGTCTGGCTCAGGTACTGAGTTCTCCAGGCATCGTGTCTGTTGTTGGCTTTCACCACTGTTTCCCAGGTTAGAGTATGCTGGGGAAGGCCGGGGCCTGGTTTGTTTCCACCAGCACTGAATCATTTGATTTCATAATTCTGCTTCTTTTGGAGTCTGACTTGTCATTAGATAAGACTATGGGTTCACAGGAAAATCTTTCATTCCCTGGGATTCCAAAGGTCAAGTGCTAAACTCTCCACTGCAGAAACCCTGCCTCTCTTCAGGTCTTGCAACTGTACATCTCTTAGAATTCAGCCAGTTCCACCTGAGCAGCGGAGTGCTCAATTTAAGGGCCCCTTTTGAGAAACAGGAGTGTGCCGGATTCCTGTGAGGTGATGACAGCTAATCATTGATCTCTGAGCAACCACAAGGGGAGTTTAAGGACACTGAGTAAAGCTTAGAGTAGGGATTTGGTGAATCATTGACTTGTTCCAGTTGCCCAAGGGTTTTTGGTGGGGGTTAAAATAAAGGCAGCTTGGGCTTCCAGCATAGCATCAGCACCACTTCCTGTACTGCCTGTTGTTGACCGAGTCTTTCTCAGATGAGGGAACTGAACCGAACACTGGACCTTGGCGTGAGACCAGAGCTTAGGATGAAGGGAATTTGGGTTGTTCAGGTCTCAGGATATAGCTCAGCTAGCTATTAGATGTGAACATGACTGCAAAAGAGTTTTTTTTAATGAAGATAAACCATTATTTTTGTGGCAGTGGTATTCCATTCTTATAAAAGAAAAATATCCACAAAGATCACTGTGGCCATTCTAGCTAAAACACACAGGATCTTATTTGTGAGAATTTTGTGTGGGGTTTTTTGGTATGTTTCCTTGCTGTGGGACAAGACTATTGTTCTGTAGGGAAATTGTGCCATTAGTCATGGCCAGACATTCCTCCTTGACACAAGGAGTACTTTGAGCTGTGACATCTTCCGAATTTCAGTGGTTTTGCCTTTATTAAGCTCTGCAGTAGAGAACATCAAAATGATGGATATATTTAAAAGCTGCGTATTTTTAGAAACAGAAAAGATATAGGGCTTGTTCTTTGCTGAAAGAGGTAGAGCAGTGGTTAGAACTGCCTGGCTGACTATGTGCCTTGATTTGCTGCTAGAGGAAGTAGCTTGGGTTTTCTGGAGTCTTTTTAAGGTCAAGACCAGCTGAAGCTAGGGAAGTACCATAGTTGTTCTTTAGACTATTTAGTCATCTGGAATAAAATGGTTAATAACTCTTTCTCCCTGGGTGGTTTTAATCCATTCTTCATTCAGAATATACAGTGCTTCCAAGGTGTTGTATTTTTAATAATGTGGTTTTTAAAGTAATAAGTCCATGTTGTTTTTGTGACTTTCAATTCATTTTAATAAATATATGCTGAATACCCTCTGGGTGATATAGGATAAAGAAAGATTAAAAAGAGGCTCACCCAGGATTGGATGGAAAAGACAGGGGTTGTCAGGAAGAGTCTCACAGAAGAGGATGCACTTAAAGGAGTCTTAAAGAGTGAATTGGAATTTTAAGAGAGGTGAGAGGGCATGGAATAAGCAAAACACTGTGAATAAGAGGACAAAAAAGTCATGAAGAGTCACAGTATATTTAAGGAACTTATGGTAAGGAGACCAGCAAGGTATGCTGGTGCTGGGGGATGGGGGAAAACAGGCTGGCCCAGGTGTAAGGGACCTTGGGGGCTGTGCCTTATCTTACAGGTAAGAGGCAGCTATTGAAAGTTTTCATGTGGGAAAATGAATGTTCATTTTTTCCTTTGGAAGGAATTCTGGCCGTGGTGTGGAGGATGAATTCATTCACCAGCCTCCTGATAGGAAGAGTGGGATGAGGCAGGGCTGTGTGTGGTGTGCAGAGCAAGAGCAGGTGAGATGACAGACCAGTTGGAAGTCTTTTTAAGAAGGGCCAGAAGTAGGGCAAGTGCACAGGGGATGGAGAGGAGGGGTCTAATGTGAGAAACATTTTGGTGGTTCTGTACTGTTGTAGTTGAAAGCATAGATAATGGAGACCGTCCTAGATTTTAACCTCTGCTTTGCCACTTATTGCTTGTATGCATTTGAAAGTTACATAACCTTCCTCTGAGCCTGAATTTTCTCGTCTGTAAAACGGGGATAATAACAATACCTACCTTATAGGTGGTTATGAGGAAATGAGGTTATTTATGTAAACCCTGTAGCGTAGAGCCTAATGCATGCTAAGCATGCAGTAGATGGTAGTTCACAACTGCCAGACCTAGGGATTGATAACACATTTGATTAGTTGATCGGGGGAGGGAGTGAGAGTCAAGTCAGTCATGACGGTATGGGTGATTAGATATATGGGAAACACTGAGTGAGTCAAGTGAAGCAGAAGAATCCTGTAAAGACAGTAGAATGATCTTAGGCTGAGCATGGGTGGTCCCGCATTTTGCATCTGGAGCTCCACCTGTGAGCAGAGCTTTGCTCACTTTGGGTTGAGGTGGGAGCCTATGGGCCACACAGCACCGCCCTCTAGTGGCTAATGAGCAGAGTGGCAGCAGTGTCTCAGCACACTGAGACACTTCGTCTTCTCTGCCTTCTTTCCTTCCATCATAATGAAGTGATGGGAGTGGATTGGCCCACATGTGGCTGGCTGAAGACTTGGTAAATCTGGTCAAACGTTTACATTCAAATGTCATCCCTACTGAGAAGAGAAGTCACATAGATAAGCAACAGCTAATCATACGCAGTTCCCTTTCTGTGCTCACTCGTGATCGCACCTGGCTCAGCCTTCTGTAGATTACCTAGACATAGTGCAGGGACAGCTGCAGCTCTCCATGCATGATGGACCAGTGTAGAATGGAGACACAATTTTAAGGACCTTTCCAGTGTGGCAATGAGTGTGGGGGTTACAAAGTTTAGCAAATTTGCAATGTCAGGTTTCTTTCCATTCTTTGGTCCACAGGGTTACCCCTTTTTGTCCAGCGCACAGTGGCTCGAACCATCGTTTTACAGGAGATTATTGGCAAGGGTCGGTTTGGAGAAGTATGGCGTGGACGCTGGAGGGGTGGTGATGTGGCTGTGAAAATTTTCTCTTCTCGTGAAGAACGGTCTTGGTTCCGGGAAGCAGAGATATACCAGACGGTCATGCTGCGTCATGAAAACATCCTTGGATTTATTGCTGCTGACAATAAAGGTAAAGGGCTGGTTACAGGGTGTCCCAAAGACGGCAGCATTTTTAGATGGAGTGGTGACTAGAGAAATGGGACAGCTGTAGACACACAGCTCTGTTTGCCTCCATAGTTATTTCTCACAGAAAGAGAATCTGAATAAGGCCATAGCGCCCAAACTTTTCTTGAGATATGGAGCCTTTTATTACGTGAAAAGCTTATACAGAAACTTTTATTCTGTGAAAAGCTTATACAGAAACCCAGGTTACTGAGCAAATAAGCAGTTATTAAACAGGTAAACAATGGGCCGGCCCGGTGGCGCACTGGATAGTGCGCCGCTTGGGAGCGCGGTGGCGCTCCTGCCGAGGGTTCGGATTCCACATACAGACCGGTTCCCGCTCACTGGCTGAGTGAGGTGTGGGCGCATGTTGCGATCCCGTTGCCGGTCCCGGTCCGGTACGGGTGCGACACTGAGGGTTGCGATCCGTTGCCAGAAACGAAAAAAGACAAAAAAAAGGAAAAAAAAAAAAAAAAAAACAGGTAAACAAGATATACCCCCTCACCCTTCCTGCTCGTTTCTTTTCCTGGACATTCTCTCAAATTCACCCCCAGCGTTGTCTCTGCAGGGCTCCAATAAGTTTATTTTGAAAATCGCTGGATTGGGGAATTGTGGCCTTAGCATGCCGGGAAGGGGTAACCACAGCAAAACATGTAGTCCATGTTCTGGATGTAACCAGCCTCGTAGACACTTTACAGTGGAGCGGCCATAGAAGACCTGCCTCTCCCCGAAGTGTCACCTAGTGGCCTTCAGGCTCAGCTTTTGATCTGGCCTGTACCCGGGGTCTCTTATTTCCTCCTTCCTCTCCTTTTTTTGCTCTAATTTTGTAGTATCTCCTGTATGCCCAGGCATATCCCTGTTTTTGAGGACCTCACTGACCAGCCAAGGGACAAGTGAACTAACAATTATAGGAGGGAAATGCAGGCTGTTCTAGTGAGCAGAGCTTGGGGGTGAGTCACACCTGAGCTTGATTGAGACACCTGAGCTTGATTGTGGCAAGAGGTGCTCAGGAAGAAAAATCCATGGGAAGGCCACTGCAGACATGTGCCAAGGAGAGGTGTGTTTGGGACCCTGCAAGTAGATTGCGATGGCTATGTCACAGCAGAAGTCAGGGATAGAGAGAGGTAGGCAGAGGCCAGACTATGAGGGGATTGTATTTCATTCTGAAGATAGTGGGTAGTAATTGAAATTTCATTTATTAATAACATTTATTCACTACTGTGGGCCAAGACCAGCTGCTTGGATCATCTCATGTAAGAACAAGACACAGTTCAAAATAGCTAGAAGAGAGGATTTTGAATGCTCTCACCACAAAGAAATGATAAATGTTTGAGGTAATGGATATGCTAATTACTTTGATTTGATCATTACACAGTGTATACAAGTATTGAAACATCACACCATACCCCATAAATACGTATAGTTATTATGTATCAATTAAAAACAAAATAAAACTTAAAAAAAAAAAAGAACCAGAAACAGTCTGTGCCCTCACAGAGTTTCCAGGAGGAGGGTGACAGCACATGGCAGTTAGTGCACCTGGAGTGCAGAGCGGGCCACGAGGTGACGGGGTTCACGCTTCAGAAGACTCTCTGGCAGCTGTGGCTGTTCGCACCTGTGGCACAGTGAATTTTAGAAGTTAGAAGATGCTAAGTATTTGTTTTTCATTCCTAAAACAACAGCAGACTGCTCATTCTTCACATTTCTGTGGGGGTTTGTAATGGCCTCAGCTGCCCCCGAGCTGAAGAGTCTCGGACTCGGATACAAGGGAAGAGGAGGAAGGGAGAGTTTCTTACTCCCTCTGAGGAAGCTGTGCCTTTTTAAAACAGCCTCATCTTTTGATGACATTTAAATCTTACATATATTTAAAGGATCAAAAGATGTCTTCCCTTTTAACTTATTGGCAAGGTCCGCAGGACTTCGGGGCTGGTTAGAGTGAGAACACTGTGTTGGGTGGGCCCCTCATTTGTGATTAGAGGAGGGAAAATTTGTACGTGTCCGGAGCCCTTCCTTTGATTCTGGTGGCTTGTGTGAGTAGGGAGCTGGCTGTCGGAACCCACGTTAGGGCCAGGGAAGGAAAACACTGGCCTCCTTCCTTCTTGCCTTTTTAACATGATATATATAGTATGGTGCCCTGGAACTAGCACCAGCCTGGAAATTGGGAGATCTCAGTCCAATTTTTAGTCTTCCTATTGACAGCAGCATTGCTTAATTAGATTGCCAGCTTTGGCATTTCTTTTCCTCCCTCCCCCCTCTTTCTTTCCCTCTCCCTGTCCCCTGTCCATCCCTCTCCACTGCCCTCCCTTTCCTTCCACTGCTCCATGCATAAAAGAGAGAAAATGAAGTGTAACCTATCCACTTTCCATTGCACTTCTGAAGGATAAGGTAGCCTCTCTGGGAATACTTGGAAGTGGTGGGCTATTCATGCATTGAGAAGTGTTTTTTTGGCCTGGAATACAGTATGCATAGAGGAGATCTTTTCTCCTCCCACAGAGAGCTCACAGCCCAGTAAGAGCGATAAGCTGAAAAGAAGCATTACCAGTGAGATAGGTGCTGGGGTCAGACTGTGTTCAAAGGGCCAGGGAGTGCAGAGGAGGGTCTTGGAGGCGTTCCCCCCGGCAGAGGTGCATGTGGTTCCAACACATAGATGAGCGAGTCCGGTCAGGATCAAAAGCAGCCTTGCAGACAAAACTGATGATCCCGGTTACTTCCCTTGCTCACATGCTTTCTCTTTCCTGGATTCCTCACATTTCACATGTGGCGTAAGGTAGAGAGCTATGCAGAATGCTACAGCCCGCCTAGAAGAAATAAGGGAGCAGGTCTATCCAAGAAATGCCATTCCTGTGTCCTTACTGGTGCCTAGACTGGTGACTACTGCAGATGAGATGGGCATCAGGAGCTGTGGGTCAAAGGTTTGAGTCTAGGTAGCTATTAGGCCTTGTGTTGTACACATTCTTCCCTTCCAACCCTAAGCTTTTTGCTGAGGGTATGCCTTTTCTGGAACTCGTGTGTGGTTCTCCACAGATAACGGCACTTGGACACAGCTGTGGCTTGTGTCTGACTACCATGAGCATGGCTCCCTGTTTGATTATCTTAACCGGTACACAGTGACCATCGAGGGCATGATCAAGCTGGCCTTGTCTGCTGCGAGTGGGTTGGCACACCTGCACATGGAGATCGTGGGTACTCAAGGTGAGTGGACCCAGCCAACAGTGGCGTGGGCAGAACTTTCAAGTGTGTACTGTCCAGAGGTGGTTTTTACTGAGAAAGTTGGGGCTGGACTTCAGGAACTGTAGACTGATCTTGAGCTTTATTTGCATGAAATCAAGAGCGATCTCTTCACTTCTGTTTTTAGAACTTCCTCAGGGAACTCTGTGACATCAGTGTTCAGTCATTTGTTAATCAATGGCTTAACACAGTTGTTATTAAGTAGTAATCATCTCAGAACCCCAGGTATGTATGTAAAAGAATGGAACTAAAGAGATAAACCAGTGCAACAGGAGCATCAGTCCAGTCATTTCACAAATTCATTGTCGGGGCAACTGGCTTAAGACTGCTTGGTGGATTAGACACTGGGCTTTACTAATCTAGGAAGGCTTTCCTGGAGGAAAAAGACCCTGAGCTCCACTGCTTGTTGACCGAAATATTGGCTCTTTGGGAGATCATGGATCTTGTCACAGTGGCAAGTATGATCTCTGATGCCTGGTAAACCAGGACAACAGCCCCGCTGGCCACAATGGAAAACCAGCCATGAAAGTTGGATCCTGTTCCTAGCCTATGCAGTGAAATTAGGTAGCCTCTTCTTTGAGCCTCCTTGATCCTGAGAAACTAGCCACTGCAACAACTTCTCTTTGAATTCCCTTCAGGGAAGGTGAGTAGTAGTATTAATAGTAATATTAGCTAATACACATGCCTTTGCAAGGTCTTTACTTGCCTGAATGATTGCATTTAATCCTCACAATGTTCCTATGAAGTGAGTACTGTTCTGATTTTATGGATTAAAAGACCAAGGTACTAATGGGTTAAGTCACTTTTTTGGGTCACAGGTTAGCGGGAGGCAAAGCCAGGACTTGAACCCACACAGTCTGGCTGTAGAGTCTGTGCTTTTAACATTTATACTATCTTTCTTCAAAGATCCCTGGTTTTTTCTCTTCCAGGGAAGCCTGGAATTGCTCATCGAGACTTAAAGTCAAAGAACATTTTAGTGAAGAAAAATGGCATGTGTGCCATCGCAGACCTGGGCCTGGCTGTCCGTCATGATGCAGTCACCGACACCATTGACATTGCCCCAAATCAGAGGGTGGGGACCAAACGGTAGGAAGGCCCTGGCTCTGCCCTTGCTCAACAGCTTGTCCCAAGTATCCACATGTGCCATTTCCCGTATGCGCAGGAGGAGGAGGTGTGGTCTTTGCTCTCAGACAGCTGAAGGTTGAGTTGAACATCCACTCCCCATACTGGGAAGCTACACAGTTGCATCTAACATATGCGAGTGCCAAGAGCACAGCTCCATAGAACCATACACACATAGGTATCGGTGGTATTTGAGGTGGGGGCAGCACAGAAGGAGAATCTAGAGCAGGATTTAGAAGGGATAGGCACCAGGGTTGGCTGTGAGGGGAGAGGGAAAATATTGCAGTCCAAAGGGGTGGCTTGTGCAGAGACCCCTCAGGAGTCAGAGAGCGTGTTCTACTTGGGATTTGGAGAGCAGGTTTGCCAAGCTAGACAGAGCAGAAGTAATCTAGGGTAAAGCTTGGAGGCCTGCTTTCCACCTCACACAAGGGCGAGGGAAGAAGTAAGGAATTGTGATTCCAGACTTTGTGACCTCATGAATTGGAAAGGGAACTGCCTTGCAATAGGACCGAAGAGGGGGTCTGTTTGCTGTCTAAATGGATTTCATTAAATTGTGCTGATTTTTTCTTTCCTTTTGACTTGAGTGATTTGAATGAATGACCCAGGTAGCAATGAGGTATTATGTACTATTACTGCCCATGTGACCTACAAGTACCTCTGCCAAGAAATCAAAAGTTGCTTCAAATGAACAAATCTCGATGGTTAAAAAAATAGAGATGTGTACTGGCCAGCTGCCCCCCAAAAAACACAAATGCCCATAAGAGTCACCTAGTGTAGACAAATCATGCTGAAGTATTTAGATTCAAATCCAAAACATGGGGTTTGCAGTGAAAAGTGCTCACTTTCTCCTCCGCAAGGGACTTTATTGGGGTGATGCTCTCCCACATTCAGAAGGCCCCTGAATGAATACTTTGATATAAAGAGAGCAATCATCATTTTCTATGTATGACCGTGTTTCTTTTTCCACTGCAGATACATGGCCCCTGAAGTACTTGATGAAACCATTAACATGAAACATTTCGATTCCTTTAAATGTGCTGATATCTATGCCCTTGGGCTTGTATATTGGGAAATTGCTCGAAGATGCAATTCTGGAGGTATCTTTCTATTTTGCTTCTCTTGCTCCTACCTCCCGGTTCCAGAATGCTAGATCACCTGAGGGTGCTGGTGTTTTACTGCCCCCTTTCCTTTTACAACCTGTTGGATGCCTGGTGCCAGAGCCCGAATCACACTGATGGTTCTCAGCAAAGGTGTGGAACATTGGAGGCAGCTGTGCTAAGGGTGTGTTTACTCCTCAGACCACCTTGTTAAATAGTGTTTATATTGGGGTAACCGTTCTGAAGGCTCATTTGGCTTTTTTTTTTTTTAATAAAAAAACACATTGTCTTTATTAGCCCATGGAGGTGGGGAATGCCCTGGGTGCAAATAGCACAGGACTGGTACAGGGGTCTCCTTTACAGTAGAGGCATATATTCTAACACACTGGCTGTCACCATGTTCCTTGAGAACCCTTGTATTTCATTGCTGAAATAATGGTAATTCCTCAGTTTGCAGAAGTGCATAGAATTTTTTCAAAATGAGATTTTTCCCCCATATTTTTTAAAAAAATCTTTGGCATTTGCAACTGCTTATTCATCTCAGAATCCAGGAAAAGATAGTATCAGCTTTAGCAGAGAATTTAATCATCAGCTTAGTGTATCAGTATTTTATGATGGTCTCCAAGTATTCTACCACATGATCAAGGTCCTGCCCTCAGCCATTTATCTCTGATGTATGAGATTCCAGGGCAGTAGAAGTAGGCAAACTGGAAGGGCTGGCTGGTTAGCTCAGTTGCCTAGAGCATGGTGTTGACAACAGCAGTGTCAAGGGTTTGGATCCATATACGCCCACCTGCCAAAAAAATTTTTTAAAAAGAACTGGTATAAGTCTTCTAGCAGGATCCTTTTGTGTGTTGCTACCCTTTTCTATCTATGATATATTTGGTAAGATCCACATTATGGAGGAGGTGTCCAGGTGTTATTCATGGAGTTGTACCTCTTAAATTTTGATCAGTATATACAGAGAAAACAGAAAAACCTGGTCTTAAACTGTGAATAAGTTTATTTCTTCTTTCTCATGACATCCAGAAATTGGGGCTAAGTAAATAGTATTACTAACATTTATTCACCACTTGCTATGGAAAAACTCTTTTAATCTTTACTACAAACTTATGAAGTAGGTACTGCTATTTTCACCATTTTGTGGATGGAGAAAATGAGTCACAGACAGGTTAGGTAATTTGTCCAAGGTCACACAGCTAGTATACTAGGGTTTAGACTCCAGCAGGCTGAGGCTAGAGCTTAAGTGCTAAACTACCCCTTAGATAATTAACAAGTTAAACTCTGTTTAAAAATCTTTCCCATTAGCTCAAGACAGCAGGGTTTTTTTTTCTGGAAAAAGGCATGAGAAAAAAAAGTACATTGGAGTTTTTAAGCTAACTTTTTATTATGGAAAATCTTGCCATTTGTAGCTCTAAAAGATAAGGACTTGGGGGCTAGCTGGTTAGCACAGCTGGTTAGAGCATGGTGTTATAACACCAAGGTCAAGGGTTCAGATCCCTATACTGGCCAGCCACCGAAAAAAAAGATAAGGACTTAAAAATGCAATACTGTTACCACACTTTAAAAAATGAATATAAATTCTTAATATCATTTAACATCTAGTCAGTGTCAAGATTTCCCCAGTTGTCTCCTAACTTTTTTAAACAGTTCAAATCATGGTACAAATGAGGTCTGTCCATTGTGGTTGATTGATACACCTCTTAAGTCTTTTCTAATCTACAGCTTCCCTGTCCATTTTCTTCCTTCTTCACTTTATCTAATTGGAGAGTCCAGATCATTTGTCCTATAAAGTTTCCCAGGATAGATTTTGCTGATTGCTTCCTGAGCAGTTCATATGTTCTACTGTTCTGGAATTTCCTATGAAGTTAGCGTTAGTGGCAAAATCCTTCTTAGGTGTTATTCTGTACTTTCGTTACAAGGCACATGATGTCGGTTATCTCTCTGCAATGTTAATGCACAGTGATCATTGTCCAAATCCAAATTCATTAGAGATTGGAAAATGCCAGTGTTCTGATTCCATTAATCTTCCATGTCTTAGCTGGATTTCTCCTTTAAAGTGAAACTTCCCCTAACTTTCTGTTTGGTTACTTAGCTATCTAGTTTGAATAGGAAAGGCAGGTAAAATTTATTTACCATTTTTTAAAATAATGAATTCATTCCCAAGCATCCTGCAAAGGTGACTGAGGTTTGTTTTTTTAAAGAATCAGTATGAACTGGTAGATTTAAAAATACTGGATTCCATTGAAGTTATTAGTCTTATTATTACTTAAATGTTCTCATCTTTGGCCAGTTGGTGCCTTTTGAAGGACCCCAATAGACTTTGATAGTTTTTCTTGCTTTTTTGGTACGAAAAAGATGTTCCCAGCCTGTCTTGTATATTTTTTGTCCCATACCTAGAATCAACCAACTTATCTAAGGAATCCTAGTTCATCTTAGCAAGAAGTGATAATTACAGATCACAATGTAGGTGTTGTCATTGGCTTTTGAGCAATTTCTTCCTTCTGTCGATAACTCAGGTAGATATTTTCTTTCCTCCCAGGAGTCCATGAAGAGTATCAGCTGCCATATTATGACTTAGTTCCCTCTGATCCTTCCATTGAGGAAATGCGAAAGGTTGTATGTGACCAGAAGCTACGTCCCAACATCCCCAACTGGTGGCAGAGTTATGAGGTAGGAAGCTTCCGTGCCTCCTGTGGCTTTTCCATTTGCCTGATTTCTCTACCTTAGAGAGGGGTTTCTCTACAATGGGCCCAACCCCCAGGGGTACCCCCTGAGAGTGTCAGTTATTATATACTGTTACATCTTACATACTGTGCCCTTTGAAGATGACAGCCTACTAGAAGAAAAAGGCTTCATCCCAAGGGTACGGATAAGGGAAGTGGTCAACGAGAGATAGAAGCAAAAGCTGAACCAGAGTTATTATACCTATCAAATCAGAAGAATGGCTCTGGAGCCACGGGGATGAGCTTGGCTCTGTAGAAGAGTGAGAAAGAGGCATCCATAAAAGAAGCTCTTAGACTGGGCGGAGGAGAATGAGGGGACAGAGAAGAGTGTCTCAAAATTAATACAGAGGGTGATGTGTAAAGGGGTTGGGATTAGGATGGAGAACTTGAATTTGGTAGCGATGGCAGATGAAATGTGGAGGGGACAACATTTGGTGGAAATAATTGAAATGAGGACAGATTTGTCACATAGATTTCTAATGCATGTGGAGGTTGGGTCTTATGGCCTTTGGGGGAGAACAGCTTGCTTAGCTAAGTGCACACAGGCCTCCTTTTCACTTGTGGCTCTGCTTTTCTTTTTACTTATTTTTTCCAGCTTTATTGAGGTGTGATTGAGAAATAAAATTGTAAAGTGTAACAATGTGCTGATTTGATATACGTATATATTGTGAAATCATTACCACAGTCAAGTCAATTAACACATCTGTCACCTTACGTAGTTACCTTTTTTGGGTGTGTGTTGAAAACGGTTAAGATCTATTCCCTTAGCAAGTTTCAAGTATATGAGGGTACTTCACAAAGTTCTCGGGAAATAGAATTGAGATAATATGAATGTTTCCATGAACTTTGTGTAGTACCCTCGTACAGTACAGTACCGTACTGTTCACCCTAGTCACCATGCTGTCCATCAGGGCCCCAGAACCTATTCATCCCATGTGAAATGGGGAGAGGCTGGCTCCACTTTTAAAGTGTAACCACTAGAGGGCGCTTTGGCAGTTAAGAACAAAACGACTCAGCTCAGCTTTAGCTGATGCCTTACCTTTGTGTAAAGGAGCAGCACGTTCCAGAGGATAAGGGTGAGGCTGAAAGAGCTAGTTTCCAGCTGCAGCTTTTTCCTTTCATCTGTACAACCTGTCCCCAAAGGAGGGAAGAGCCAAGGAAGAGAAAAGCTTGCAAAGCATTGCCCAAAGGTGGTGGGAGCTGCGAGGGTGCACACTCTGTGCCGAGGGAGAGGTGGCACGGTTGGGTTGATGGCCTCTGGGTTTCTCTTTGCAGGCACTACGGGTGATGGGGAAGATGATGCGAGAGTGCTGGTATGCCAATGGTGCGGCCCGCTTGACTGCGTTGCGCATTAAGAAGACCCTCTCACAGCTCAGCGTGCAAGAAGATGTGAAGATCTAACCTTGTTCCCTCTCCCGCTACACGCAACCCTGGGCAGCGAGAACTACACACAGCTGCCATGTCGAGTGTACGAAGGAGGCCTACCTCTCGTTTCTGCCCAGCCCTCTGTGGCCAGGAGCCCTGGCCTGCAAGAGGGACAGAGCCCGGGAGACTCGCTCACTCCCATGTTGGGTTTGAGACACAGACACCTTTTATATTTACCTCCTAACGGCATGGAGACTCTGAGAGCGAATCGTGTGGAGCACTCAATGCCACAACTCAAACTGGTTGCAGTGGGAGGTCCCGTAAACCCGCTGTGTCTGGCATGAAGCCAGGAGTGGTGAAAGGGGTGGCCTGGGATGGCCAGGAGGAGCCGAGTTGCTGCCAGTGCTGAGCAGCACTGAGGGTGTTCCTCTAGGGACCAACCCACGGCACACCGAGGTGGCCCAGAGGAACCGAAGTGCAGCCCCTCTCACAGGCAGCGCTGAGCCACGAGCTCCCCTCCTCTCTCGCACGGACATCTGGAGGGACTGCCAGTGGAAACGGAATCTGCCGCCTCTCTGTCCAGCCGTGTGTGCATGTGCCGAGGTGCGTCCCGTTGTGCCTGGTTCGTGCCACGCCCTTATGTGTGTGTGTGTGTGTGTGTGTCTGTAGGTGTGCACTTACCTGCTTGAGCTTTTTGTGCATGTTCAGGTCGGGGGGTGGTTGTCATGCCGTCTCTGTTTGCTGGTGCCTCTGTTCAGTAGTGAGCAGCATCTAGTTTCCCTGGAGATCTCTCCCTCCCCTCTCGCTCCCCAGAGCCCCCCATGCCACGGTGGTGTTCCCTGCCCTTCCTTGTGTCAGCACAGTTCTCCTTCTCCATTTCAGACTGTGAAGCCAAAGCTGGCCCACTTGTCCATGGCAGAAGAGGCTTTGGGGTCACAATGTGAGGGAGGGAGGTGGGATGGGCAGGGAAAGAATCTTGGTGGAAGTCTTGGGCAATGTGATCAAGCCAGCCCAAAGGCGGCATCCTCAGCAGCATCAAGGAAGGGCCAAGGAATTTGAAGCAAGATCTTGGGACTCAGATTGGAATGTGACATCTGTCTTTCATATCCCAAATTCTGGAAACAGCAGTGTACATGTTTGGTGGTGGTGGGTTTGGGGTGGGGAAGGGAAAGGGGGGACAAGGAGTCGGGTGGGAGACTGGGGTGGGAGGGAGGCATCTGCATGGGTCTTCTGTTACTGGATTAACTGATCAGGGTGGAGGGAAAATGAGATTTGCATCCACTTCAGGGGCCCTACTAAAGGGAACAGCCTGAGCTGAACATGTTATTTAACCTGAGTATAATATTTAATGAAGTCTAGAAGCACGGTTGTGGGTGGTGATTTGGTCAGCATATCTTAGGTATATAGTAACTTTGAAGCCATAACTTTTAACTGGAGTGGTTTGATTTTTTTTTTTTTTTTTTTTTTTTTTTTTTTTTTTAGTTTTATCAGGAGGGTCTGGATTTTAACTTTTTTAAATAAGTTTTTGTAAGGAAAACCATCTCTCCGTGATGATTACCTCTCAATCTATTTGTTTTTAAAGAAACCCCTAAAGCAAAAAAACAAAAAAAAAAATTTCCAATCAAACGCACATAGCTCAATCACACTGGAAATGTTTGTCCTTTTACCTGAGCCTGTTCCCACTCAACGATGAGATTTCCTCTTTCCCTGGGGGCTCAGCCTCTCTTACATTCTGTCCCTACCCCAATTCCCTGAGTGGTTCTTGCTCTAGGGCTCTAGCCTTTTGTGCATTGTCCAGCTGGTGGCACCCTCTCCAGACATTTATTCAACTGATGTGTATTGAGTGCCTGCTGGGTGCCAGGCGCTGGGCATACATCTGCCAACCAGACAGGTGCGGGTCCTACTCTTGGAGCACTGGAGGAGGAGCTGATTCAAGTTAAGGTTCTAAGAGCCTTTTGAGCCTGGAATTATTGTTCTTACATAAGACCACTGAGGAAAGGGGATCCCCCTCCAAAGAGACCAGTGGTGGGCAGTGAGGCCTGGGGTTTAGAGTCCCAGGTGAGACCCCAAATCACTGCATTCATTCTGAGCCCCCTTCTTGCCCCCAGGGGAGGAACATCACGTGTACAGCCTTAGAGCATCCCTTCCTCGAGCCTGTGAGTCTCTGCCAAAGCCTGTGGAGGAGGGAGAGCTCTCTCCCTGCCCTCGGTCTCCCTGATGCTCCTGGCCTTTCTATTTATTTTCCTGATGCATTGCTTCTTTCCTTGATTTAAAGGAGATCTTCCGCTAACCCTTTGGGCCAATTTACTGGCCACTGACTAATTTCCCTTGATTACCAATTGTGTCATTAGGGGGACCTTCTTATCCACCCCTGCTGACTTCCTACCTGTCCATCAGCCCTGCAGCAGAACCTTGGCCGTTATAGGTGATGATGGAACTTAGACTCCTCTGCCTCGAGTCACAACTAGCCTCTGGGATCTGCCAACACGTGTGCACCCAGCGACTCCCAAGCCGCTAGCCCACTCCCCAGATGGCCCTTCTATCCTCACCACGTATGCATCCAGCTCCTCCACCTCTGGAGAAGACAGCAGTTTTGGTGACCTCCCATGCCCACCCCTGCCACTCTTAACACCAAGTGAAAGTTGGGGAGAAACTAAAGCTGTCCTTTTGGCCCCCAGAGGCTAAGCCTGGTCCATAGGGCTACCTGCACCTCTGGATCCCGGATTCACCGACCAAGTTCAAGCCCGTTCTTATGTCGCCATCGAGGCCCCTGAACGGCATTCTCGGTACTTCTGTTTGTTTTTGTACATTTTATTAGAAAGGACTGTAAAATAGCCACTTAGACACTTTACCTCTTCAGTATGCAAATGTAAATAAATTGTAATATAGGAAATCTTTTGTTTTAATATAAGAATGAGCCTGTCCAATTTCTGCTGTACATTATTAAAAGTTTTATTCACAGAGCTTTTCTGGTGCCATCTGTCTTACGTATGTGAAATGACCACCAGCTTTGGGCTGGCAGTTGGGAATGGGGCGGATGGTTCTAAGGTGGTTTCTACCTACCAGTGGCCAGGGTCTTGATGTTAATCCCAGTTGCAGCAAATCACATTCAGAAGAGGTGCAGATCTGAACATCCTGGGTCTTCCTGTGACGGTTGCTCTGTGTTTCACAGGGAGGGTCTGCCATGTAAGGGAGCGGAAGACAAACCAAGCACCCTTTTCTTGGGCTTCTCTTTGTCTTTCAGCTTTTTTCTCTACTTACAAAAGAGGGTCTTAATCCTGGTTAGTCACACACCACTGAGTTTCAAAGACAGCCTAAGAGCTCACTTCAGTTTGCTTCCCTCCTCCTAAATTATAGTATAATTGTGAATTTGAGGATGCTTAGATGGCTTTTAGATGGGAGTCGTCAGTGGTTATCTGGCATTTTCAGTGTGTGTGTAGGTGTGAGTGTCCTCTGTTTCTAGGCTGAGGGGGATCCAAAATAGCAAGTCTTCAAGTTTAGATGGATCCTAAAGCTCACCTCGTCCACTGCCCATCAGGCACTTAGCTCCCCTGCAGCATCCCTGCCACGTGGCATAAGGCCTCGTGCTCTAACACAGGACCACAACTTCCATCTGCAGGCCACGCCACTCAGTAGAAGGCTCTTCTGTGTGTGGGAATGGGCAGCCTCCATGTGACTTCTGCAGGCTTTTCAGAGCAGTTATTCTCTCTTCTGTGTAAGATCCCTGAAAGTATTTAAAGGCAGCTGTCATATTATGAATTTCCTTTTAAAGTTTCTTCAGTTAATATTAGCAAATACTTCTTGAAAACTTACTGTGTGCTAAGTAATGTGTCAAGATTTGCTTTACATATATTAAGTAAGTGCTTTAGTCCCCAAAACAACCAGATGAGGTGGGCATTATTTTCTCTTTAAGGATTAGGAAGTGGAGGACTAGAGAAGTCAAATAAATTGCTGAAGATCACTTAGCTCATGGGTGGAAAAGACCTTGGCTCTAGGATGTTGATCACAAACTTCAGTCCTTCAGCCTCTACACTGTCCTGCCTCCATGGTTCCATGTTTTCCACCCAGGTCAGCTGCTCTCTTTTGAACCTAGCTAGAGCCTGGGGCCAGAGCAGGTGAATAACTTTCCATCCAGGTATTAAGTGACAGCACAGACCGGAACAAGAATCCCACAGACTGTGCTTGATAACCACGAGTCACATCCCAGGCCTGCATTGCATCTCAGGTTGAGCAAAATCCAGCTACCTTCTTCCTCCATCCTGCAGTAATTTCACTGTAGAGCCTGCCCATTGTTCTAGCCTGTTGCTATTTTTAAATCCTGAACATCCAAAGTTTTCTATTGTTCTTCCATCTGAGACTGTTGGTCTGGAGAAAATCAAGTAATATTTACCTTTAGAAGTTTGCTTTAAGTTTGGCATATATCCCAATAACCTGATAGGCTGCTAATTAAATTGTCCTCATGTTCTGGTCTTAATCCTTCTATCAACAAAGACAACAGCAGAAGCCCAAGTCTCTTGCTGAAGTATTGTGGCTGCTGCATCTCTTTGTCTACGTATTTGTCAGAAAGAATGGCAAAGTGGATTGTAGTGAATCTCAACTCCATTCAAATGAAGGTCCTTTACAGGCCATCCTGAGAACAGTCAGTCATCTTGCCAGGCCTGGACCTAAAATTCTCTAGGCTATGGATTACAGGCCCAACTTTACCATTTTGAAAATTAGAATGCTAACCGTTCTTCTACCTTTTGCTGTGTCCTTGAAGGTGACTAACAGTGTTTCACTGTTTTTTTGTTGTTTGTTTTTAGTGGCTGGCTGGTTTGAGTATCTGAGCCCTTGACCTTGGTGTTACAACACCTTTTCTAACCAACTGAGCTATCAGGCTAGCCTGTGCTTCACCTTTGTAAGGTCCATCACACAGGAAACCTGAATTCATTTGAATGGTGTAATCACTTGGGTTTTTGTTTCACGCGACTTAATTTTTTGCCCCCCACCCCTGGCTGTATGCCGATCTTCACAGTCTTGGTAACATGCTCACCAAGTACAACCAAAACAAAATTAGGCGTAAGAGTTCAAGAGACTGACTCAGGAACATAAGAGGGCTGCATAACAAAGGTAGGGTTAGCCGGCTAGCTCAGATGGCTACAGCACAGCCTTGTAACCCCAAGGTCACGGGTTCAGATCCCTATACCAGCCAGCCAAAACAATGGTGGGGGAAGGGGGAAGAAAGCTTTGGAGCAAGCCTGGAATGGTGGTGGTAGTCAGGGTTCTCCCGAGAAACAAAACCAGTAGTATGTATATATAGATGTATAGAGAGATTTATTTTAAGGAATTGACTCATTATTGTGGGGGCTGGCAAGTCCAAAATCCGCAAGGCAGGCCAGCATGCTAGAGACCCAGGGAAGAATTGGTGTTCAGTCTTGAGCCGGGAGGCAGAATCCTTCCTCGGGGTACCTCACTCTTTTCTCTTAAGGCCTTCAATTGATTGGATGAAACCCACCCACATTATGGAGAGTAATCTGCTTTACTCAAAGTCTACTGATTTAAATGTTAATCACATCTAAAACATACCTTCATAGCAACATCTAGACAAGTGTGTGACCAAACAGCTGGGCACTATGGCCTGCAAGTTGTTGGGTGTTCTGTGGTCAGTGAGGATGGGATTTAGGGAATATGGCAGATAGTCCCAGGCAGGTCCTTCTGAGAATGCTCGTTGGAAGCCAAAGATGGGGGCTCATGGGGCAGGAAGGTTTAAGGAACAATAGAATAGACTGGGCTCTATTTAATAAGTATTTGTTGAGCAACCTTAGTGAATAAAGCAGTAGGAAGAATACAAAGATAACAATCCATGGTCCCTGCCCTTTAAGAAGTTTATAATGCAGACAGAGAGATAGGACTTGTACAGAGATAACAATAACAGTAAGATTTTGGCAAGTCCCGTTACAGAACAACACATAAGGTGCCATGGAACCACAGGTGAGGTGTCTGGGAAAAGAAGGGACATGTCCCTGCCCTTTATGGGCTCCCCACCTGGTGGAACGGGCTAGTAAACAACCAAGATCTAGTACTATGATAGGAGTGTACATAATGCCATGGGAACACAGGAGAGACAGGAGGTTGGGGTCAAGAAAGGTGACATCTAATTTGGAGTTGGCATTGCCCTGCTGCCTGAGGAGAGGAGAGGGTTTTAGTCAAAAAGAGTGTTGGGGGCCGGCCCGTGGCTCACTCAGGAGAGTGTGGTGCTGATAACACCAAGGCCATGGGTTCGGATCCTACATAGGGATGGCCGGTTAGCTCACTGGGTGAGCGTGGTGCTGACAACACCAAGTCAAGGGTTAAGATCCCCTTACCGATCATCTTTAAAAAAAAAAAAAAAAAAAGAGTGTTGGCACTCAAGAAGCACGGATGGTGCTGGTATAGGCGGAGCAAGGGAGCGGTGGCACAATGAGGGAGTCTGTTGGAGCTGTTCACATGCTGAAAAGTCAGAGGTCCGTGCTGGGAGCCAGCATGCAAACCTGCAGCACCACTGCCGTCACTTGCCTTGTGACAGCTACTCAGACTGCTTGGCTATCCTCCTGAGTCACTGTAAGGAAAGCTGGAGAATTAACCTCCCTTCCTTAAGCCACTCTAACCCATTCAAGCCAGAGACACCTGCCATCCCCATCCAAGAGGCAAGGTGGTCCCTGGCCTCTGGGCAGGACTAGACCCAGAGACCATAGCCAGTGCAAACAAACTGCTGCATCTACTTACCCCTTCTCCCAGACCCCCTGGAATTGGGTCTTTGGGCTGTGCTGGAGCAACCCCGCTGCTGGATTCCCTCCCGTTAGCTCCAGTACATACGTAAACACTATCCCATGGAAATTGTTGGGCAAGAGGAGCTGTTGACAAAAACAACTACTCCCTGCACAGTCAGCTGCCTACCGGCTGTCTGCACCTCCTACCAGAGGTGATGTCATGCAACTGGGGGCCCAGCCCCTCATTCCTGACAGACCAGAAAGCCCCAGGCCCTCTCTCTCCCACCTCCCCAGCTTAGAAGTAGTGGCCCTCTCTCCCACCTCCCCAGCCAGAGAGGAGCCCCTAGCAAACTCTTCATACCTGCTAATTCTGGGCCCTGAAATGACTCCTAGAGCTCTGAGACTTGAGTTAGACTCCACAGGGGCCTGAGCTTCTACAGCTCCAGTCTTAAGTGCCCTGGCTTCCTGAGGGTACCTCAGAGCTTGAGCTTGAGCTTGAGCAGGACGGGAGGTTGGGAGACAAGATTCAGCTCTCCGCATTTCCTCCACAGGGGACTGCTGGTGGTTAAATATCTGGGCAAGGGCTTGTCCAGAAGAGAAGGGATGTGAACTATGCCTTGTTCATCAGCCAGGTCCTGGATGTCTAAGCCCCCACCCCAGCCAAGCGCTATCCCGAGTGCCAGGTGTCAGGACAACCAGAGCAAAAGAAGGAAAACCTGGGAGCTTATTCTGAATGAGAGAGACTTGCCTTGGGATAAGGTACAGATTGAGTACAGATGTCTGAGGAGCCAGAGTGAAGAGGGTTTTGCAAGGAGGCTTCCCAGAGGGAAGAGTATAGACGGGGAGGTGTCCTGGCATGAAGTTGCAGGCAGTATGCAGAATGCTTCCCCTACCCCTAAGCTTTAAAGGGCTGCAGAAGATAGGATGAGAAGAACTGATGCCAGACAAGAGACTCAGATTTAGGAGGAAGTTGTGGAGAGCTAGAGAAGGCAAAGCTTTAGGGGCCTCACATACACTGCCTGGCATGTGAAGCTAACGGCACCGAGAAGGCCCACCAACTATCTGTCTTCTCCCTGATGATCTTCAGCTGTAGCAGGGCTGCATTAGCTTTGATCAAATAACTTCCACGGGACTGGCCAGTTAGCTCAGTTGGTTAGAGCATGGTGATGATAACACCAAGGTCAAAGGTTGGAATCCTGTTACTGGCCAGCCGTCCAAAAAATCCAACTTCCTGTGACAGGTGTGAGATACCAGGACTCAGTGACCAATGTGGAGCTTGGTGTCTCAGCTGAACACAGATCCTCTTGGGAGGGAGAGGGGCTGTGGGGGATCCTTGAACAGTGGGATCGAGGTGCTGGGATTCCAGGTGGAGTCTGGTGCAAGCCAGCCTTTCAGTCTGGTTTGAAGATTTTTCCAAGAGATTCATGGCCACCAGAGGGCATCACTAGTCCACAGTGTGGCATCCTGGGCTCCCATTCCTTCCCTGGAGAAACTGAGATTGGGAGGAGGAAGCAGGCAGAGGGATCTCTGAGCTCTCGGCAGCTGAATTAAACAGTCGGGAGACCTAGGCTCTAAGGAGTACTAGTGCCTGCTTTGCCACCATCTTTCCCTTCCTGGCCTCAGTTGCCTCTGTTTAAATGAGGGCTTGGACCACGCGGCATCCTTTCCAGACCATAAGGCCCTTTCCAGCTCTGAAATTCCAGGATTTGTGGAAATCATGCAAACAGCTTGACAGAAATTGCATTTCCCGGACCCACCCTTACTTTGGGGTTCTCTAGGACTTTCTGCCTGGCAAGAGGAGGAAATTTGAGGTGTGAACTTCATTTCTCTGATGGTGTCTCTCACTTGGAGGCAGACTGAGCCTGAAGGAGGAATGTCTCAACAGGATGTTGGACACTGGTGCTGTGTGATACCCTAGTGTCCACTTCTCCAGGTTTCAGGCAAGGAGGAGTCTTCTGGGATAGGCAGGGTGGTTCCTTCACAGAAGAGGTTGTGCAAGATGCCTTTTTGAGGGTCCCTTCAGAGGTAGGTGCTGGAATGAATAGAATAGAAACCATTGCCTCTCCTGCTTTTGTGCCTCCTCACCCCACCCCCGCTACAGATGCCAGCTGTCAGGAGCAGGCAACAGACGGTCCAGGGGTCCATCTGTGCTAATGCTTCACAATAGAGTCCCATGTTTTCCCACCGACACACTCTCGGCCCCTCAGCTGATGGCCACTTGGTGGTGCCCAGGGGGGAGGTGGGAAGGAGAGGAAGATGGTAAGGGAGCTAGCTCTCAGCTCCTGGCAGCCCCCAATCCACCCCTACCCCCCACCCAACATGCATCCTGCCATCTGGGCTTGTACAAGCACTGAGGGGTGGAGAAGCACCCTCTTCCACCCACAGTTCCTGTAGGGGCTGGGAGACCATGGGTCTGAGGGTGGGGAAAAGACAGAGTCAAGGAGACAAGGAGGCAAGAGGACTAAGACAGATAGCGAACCGAGATAGGCAGACGACAGAAAACCTTTCCTGGCCTCCCCAGATGGACGTGGCACTTGCCCCTGTGTACCCCTCATGCCATGTATCTAACATGGCACAAGTATAATGTGCCACTCTCTACCAGCCTGAGAACCTCTATAACCCCAGTGCCAGGCCAGTACCTGGCATAGAGCAGGGCATAAGTGTTGAATGAGTGAAGAATCGAAGAAGACGGCATCACAGAGTGGTTAGATTGCAGGCTCTGGAACCAGGCTGCCTGGGTTTGAATCTCACTTCTGCCAGTGAGGGACCTAGGGCAAGTTACTTACCCTTTCTGGGCCTCTGTTTCCTCATCTGTAAGGGATGACAATGGTATCTATTCTGTAGGGTTGTTATGAGAACCAAATGAGTTAATACATGTATGTAAAAGCACACATACAACAGTGTGCATAGCACATGGTAAATGCTTAATAAATGTTAGCTAAAGGCATAATCCAGATTTGGGAAGACTGGAGGAGAAGGGCACAGACAGGGACAGATGGGGACAGTGCATCCCTGGCCTCTGTTTAGTGGCCAGTGTTGAGATGTGGAGCCCCAGCTTGTGGTGCTGACGCCTGTGGTGACTAGCCACTCTTTAGACACCAGCCGTGGCCTTCCACTTCCTCCTCTCACTTCTTATTCGGGCACCACTGACGACAGAGACTTCGCTGGGCCATCCCCGCCTCTCCTACAGCCTGGCAGCCATGGTAACAAAAACAGCCTGGGGGATGGTCCCTAAGAGAGGGTCGGAGAATGGCTGAGCACCGCCCCCCAGCAACACTGAGCACCCACTCAGCTAGGGCACATCCCCAGCCCCATGAGTCAACCCCATAGTAAAGGTCTCTGCTGGGAAAGGGAGCTGAGGGAAAGTGTATCTAGCAGGGACCACTCCAGAGACCCTCAGAGGGGCCAGGCCAGCATTAAGCCTACTGCTTTCAGGGTTTTCCCTTTCCCCTCTACGTGGGAAGCGGAGGCAGCCTCTTTCAGCTCTTCTAGGGCAGCTGTGTAAAGGGGAAATCCTGGGCCCTCTCACTCCCTAGGGGCTTCTGCGCAGTCAGTTCAGGGGCGTCTCCTTCTTCCCCCTTCAGGGACACACACCCCTCTCCCTGCACAGTCCCGCTGCCTCTTTTCCCAGGCCTAGAGTCTCCTGCAGCCCCCTCGAATCTTCCCCCAGGACCCCCAAACTTCCTTACAGTGACCCCTAACTTTGCACCCCCCACGAGTTGCTAAAGCCATCATCCCTGAATTTCAAATCTTACGCAACGCCCCTTCACAGACCCCCTGCAGATATCACGCAGACCCTCTAGCCCCGCCCCGGGGTGCCCTGTCCGTACCCCTCTCTTCCGCGAGTAGATTCCCCCCTCCCCCCCGGCACCGAGCGCCCTGGTCCTCAAGAGTGTCCCGAGCCTGGCCGGCCGTCGAGCGCGGTGGGCGGGGCCTGCGCACCGGGGGCGGGGCCTGCGCACCGGGGGCGGGGCCACCGAGGTTTCTCCCCGCCCGCCCCCTAACCCCGCCCCGGAGCCTATAAAGGCAGGGGACCCGCGGCCCCCCCGGCTGGCATCCCCCAGCCGCCGCCACCGCCGGCAGGGCAGCCTCTGAGGGGTGCCGGGCGCCGGAGCCATGACCCTCCGCCGACTCAGGAAGCTGCAGCAAAAAGAGGAGGCGGCGGCCGCCCCGGACCCCACCTCCCGGGCTCCCGATTCGGAAGTCGCTCCCTCCGCTCCGGCCCCGACCCCGGCCTCGGGCTCCCCCGCTGCAGCCGCCACCCCTGGGCCCCCAGGGGACGAGCTGTACGCGGCGCTGGAAGACTATCACCCTGCCGAGCTGTATCGCGCGCTTGCCGTGTCCGGGGGCACCCTGCCCCGCCGAAAGGTGCGTCCCCTACCCCCAAACTCCGCGTCCCCCAGATCTCAGTCCCCTCCCCGTGGCCTTCCTCAGGACTTGCTCAACCCCCCTACGGCCCCCCATCAGTGCCTGCTGACCCACAGCACTCTCTCCTCGAGGTCCACCGAATCCTCCACCCCTTGCCCAGCCCGAAGACTCCCACCGACTCCCCTCGGCCCTCTCCAGGGAAGGCGCAAACTCCGTGCCCGCGGCCCCCGCCTCCGTGCCGCCCCCCAATCTCGGTGGCTCTCCACTCCCCGCGAGCCGTCGCCTCAGCTCGCTCCCTCCCTCCTTCCTTGACTTCTCCCCAGCACCCCCTTTCTCCTACTCGCTCCATCTGGCTTTCTGCCCCCCAAGCCCCGCCTCCCCGTGTCCAGGTGTCTCGAAGTCCCCAGGACCCCCTCGTCCAGGCTTCTCTTCCAGTTGAAGCGGGGAGGGCTAGGACTAGGGTCCTGCATCTCACCCCAGCCAAGTTGAGGGTCCGAGAGCCCTGGGTGGGAGAGGGGGGCCGGCGGCCGCGCCGCGTGCGTTCTCAGCGGAGGAGGTGCGTGAGGCGCAGTTGACTCCCGAGAGCACACTCCTCCGAGGGGACGCCCGGATTCCTGGGCTCGGGGCCTGCCGCCTTGCCCCGCGTCTGATGTACAGGGTTCAAGGGCCACCGCTTCCCTGGACTTCAGCCGCGACCGGACGCGTTGGGAGGGGTCGCAGGGCGCCCGCGGGGCAGGAAGGATGCGGGCCGCGCCCGCTCCTGAGTCTCCCCACTCCGGGAGGCTCTTCCTTTAGCCCGAGGGGACCGGAGCTCTCAGAAGCGGGAACTTAAGACCCAGGTTAAGGAGAGGGGGTTGGTGGCCTTTCCCCACTCAGCTCCCCCGTCCCCCGCCTCCTTCCCTAGTCCCCTGCTCCCCCCCACACAATGAACAGCTTGTTAAGAATTTGCATTTTATGAAAATCGGGTTGAAAGACAAAGGGGTCTCTCTGTGCTGCCCAGTCCTTTCTCCCTGGCCCATTTGGGGACTGTCCCTACCCCTGAGGCTAATCTTTGGATCTGGAGAAAGAGGGCCCCCTTCTCTTCCTTGCCTAGGGGCAGCTTGGGGGGGAGGGTTAACAAGGGCACAGACCAGCTTAGGGCACATGGAGAATAGGCTGGTCTGGGACTGGGGTTCCTCCAAGCACCAAAAATTTAGGGAGGTGGAGAGAGTCTGCTTTAGTTTATCAAGGCCCCTGAAGAGGCAGGAAACCTCAGCTCTGTCACCCCTTCCTCAAAAAAGAACTCCCAATCTGTCTCCTTAAGTATAGTGAGACTTACTGACCAGTTTGACATCTAAGATTTTTTGTCCCAGAAAGCAACAAAATATATGGCAGTGTCAAGAGACCCAGGTGTAGCCAGGCACAGGTCATCCCTGAAACAGCCCGTACTTAGGAGATTTGGCATCTCTGTCCACTGTTCTTCCACATTCAGGCTGGGATTGCTGGCCCTCCAGGTCTGAGCCCTGAGCCCTGACCCCAGCTCTCCCTGGCCACTGTCTGTAACTGAGAAATTAGGTGGAAAGACCTGACCGGCAGGGGGTCCCTGGAGTGCCTTGATACATGAGCCCAGGGGCCCCCTGCCCTTCTTTGAGTTCAACTGGGGAAGAGCCTCTGCCTCAGCTTTGGGATCTGTAAGGCTTGAGCCTCTACAGTCATGGGCCCTGGGGGTAGAAACCATTCTAGAGTAACCACCCCACCCCCAGCCTGGAAACCAGCAGGGGGCTTAGAGGTTCATGCATGTGGAACCCAGGACAATTGTGCCTCCACTGTCCCAGCTATGGGGGTAAAGCCTGGGGAGAAACCTAAGGAGTGACACTAATAATAGTGGCACTTGGCAAATAGTTATGCCAGCTCCACAGCAAGTGTGGAGCTGGGAAGGGACAGACAGGCAACAGGAAGTGGGGTGCAGTGTCCAAAGCTGGAGCCCAGGTGAGGGACCTCCTAGAGTAAGGCTCTCAGCATCTGCTCCAGGACAGCCCCCCTCACCTGCTTCTTCCTGACTGCCTTCCTGCCCAGGGCTCAGGATTCCGCTGTAAGAATCTCAGCCAGAGTCCTGAACAGCAGCGGTGAGTAACTACCACCCTAGCCCCTGCCATGGTCCAATAGGGTGAGGTGTTGCGGGGTGGGGGGGAGCACGACACAGCATCTCAGCCCAGCCAGGGGGAATCATTCTCCCACCCTTTAAGCATGGCTCCCCCACTGGAGTGAGGGCAGGTGGGGGTGTGGGCTGTGTGAAGGCAGTGGCAGAGAAAAGGAGGTGGGGACTTTTGAGTCATTAGGTGCTGCTCAACCTACTCCCAGTCCCTGGCAGTTACCCCTCCCTGGGGAGAGCTGGATCAACGGGAGGTGGGTGTTGAGGGAAGTAGAAGTCTTCCCTGGGGAATGTCCTAACCCAGGCCTCCTGGGCTCCCCTGAGCCCTCCCAGCCCCAGCAAACACCGCGGGCCCAGCCCATAGCCAAGCTATGTCCAGCAGCTTGGGTCTGGCTACTGCTGCCTCCAGAATCTCAGTCCTGTGTTGGTGCCATCCTGTGGCAGCCCTCTTAAGAAGGATCTGTGGTAAGGGCAGAAAAGGGTTCTGACCCCAGGACCTGGGAACCCACAGTTTCCTTTCTCTGCCCACGTTTCCATCCCTGATTTGGACCTAGCTTCCTCTAAAATGGATCAGCAAACTACAGCCTGCTGGCCAGAATGGCCTGTTTGGCCCTTGAGCTAAGAATCGTTTTCATATTTTTAAAAGGTTGTAAAAATAAATACAAAAGAACAATACATGACAGAGGCTGTATGGGGACCGCAGAGAAAGCCAAAAATATTTACCTCTGGCCCTTTTCAGGAAAAGTTTGCTGACCCTTCCAGAGAACCAGAGAGCACTGGGGTAGACGGGGAACTTCCAGTCACCCTGCCCCTCACCCCAATGCATACAGAGGGGAAAGGCCTGCTGTTTAGAGTGCCAGGGGCTCAGGTTGGAGCTAAGAGGTGCTGCTTAGCATTTGTGGGGGAATGTCTGGGTCAGGCTGGGAGCTGAGGAGCCTGGTCTCCAGGGCCTTTCTGAGGCTGTGAGACTTGAAGGGGCCTTTGGAGGCTGCTTTAACTCTGCCTCTGGCTGGGCGGGAAGGAAGGGGGTGGGGGTGGGCAGAGGAAACTCTGGGCTCCCCCAGCGGGAGAGGATCTGGAGCTGCTCCAGACCATTGTGTCCAGCGGGCAAGCCTTCGGTGCAGTGCGGGAAGGGGCGGCCTCGAGACTCCCCTCCCCCCAGCCCTCACATCTGGTGGGCTGGCCCCACCGCAGCTGGGAGGAGCAGCTGTGGTCTGTGCTGAGCCTCGTGACTGGCCTCTGAGGGTGGGGCCAGTCCTCTCCCCAAAGCTGTGGAGCAGGGGAGGATCCATGCTGGGGCCAAATTTGGGGCCTCAGCTAGTAAGTCAGTGGTACCCTGGGGCTCACTAGAAAGCTGGGGTGTGGCTGAGAAGTCAGCTAGCCCACCCACTCTGGGGACCAGCCTGCCTCCCCCCACTGGAGGCTGGATTGATTCTGTGCCGCTCCATGAGGCTAATTTCAGTTGGGTATGGGAAAGTCATTCCAATAATCTGTGATGAGTGAGTTGTCACTGGAGACTGTGAGTCCTGCCGGAATATTCTAGACCAGATTCCAGCACCCACGGAAACCCAAGCTTTGGGACTGCCATGCTTATTTTAATCCTGATAGTCTTGACCCTGTGTCTCCCGCAGGAAAGTGCTGACTTTGGAGAAGGAGGATAACCAGACCTTTGGCTTTGAGATCCAGGTGGGAGAAGCTGGATACAGAGCGGGGAGGGGATGGGAGGCCAGTCTGAGGGATGGATGGACCCACCCCACCCCTGGGCTGAGGGTCCCCTTATCTGTTACAGACTTATGGCCTTCACCACCGGGAGGAGCAGCGTGTGGAGATGGTGACCTTTGTCTGCCGAGTTCACGAATCCAGCCCTGCCCAACTGGCCGGGCTCACACCAGGTGGGGACTGAGCCCAGGACACAGGGCTCTGGGAAGGGGGTATGACCTTACTCTCAAGCAGAGGGGGTGAGAAATCTCTCCTGAAATCAATTCCCCTTCTTCTTCCTACTTTGAGAAAGCCAAAAAGAACAGAATATGGACTTTAGATCCAGGCAAATTTGTCATTTACTGTGTGATCTTGCACAGTCCCATCTGCAAAAAATGGGGGTGATAATATGTCCTCACATCACACAGTGAGGTGAGGGGATTCCCTGGGCACAGAGCCAGGGCCTGGTAAATGATGGCTGCTGCTGCTGATCTGCTTCCTCCTGGCCGTCTGGCAATCCAGCATGGGCAGGAGTTGGGAAGCAGCAACATTCCATTAGCTCTGCTTGATATTGGGGGTCAGGGCCTGTGTTATTGCTCTAACAAGGAAATGATGTATCCAGTAGGAGACCCTTGGGATTGAGCAAATCTATAGTCCCCAGGTTTCAGGCAGGGGCAGCCTGAGACTGCACAAATGAACACCCCCCATTTTCGTCTCTAAGCCCTTACTTCCTTGCCCACGCACCAGCAGCCCTCGGTAGCCAGGTGGCATGTTGTGACTTTACAAAGTAGTTTCCCATCCACTCTCCCTGCCCATCATCCCCGAGGTAGTCACAGCAGGGATCCATACCTTGTTTTTGCAGATGGGAAAGGAGCCCTTAGAGATGGTGGCATGCCCCAGCTGAGATCAGGAGGCTCTGCAGTGGCACTGGGTATCAGAAGCTGAGGCCTCTCAAGCCTGGGCCACTGTTGGTTCTCAGCTGGGTACTACTCACCCTGCCCCCTTCCTGTCTCAACTGAGTCTCATGACAGGCATGGGCTGGACAGAAATAACCAACTCTGGGGGCAGCCCAGGGGCCTGGGAGGGCTCAGCCTTTGGGGACAGAACTTCCTGAGGGTAAGGTAAAGGTGTGGGTGTATGAGGGCTCAGCCTCTCTGAGGTCCCTGGCCCTTAGGCTGGGGTGCTGGGCCTGGACAAACTGGTAGTAACTATGGGCAGGGAAGAATGGCTGGTTTTGTGTGTGTGTTTCGGATGGGGGTAAAAGAGATGTCAGAGGAGGCCTCCCCCTGAACCTCGAGGAGTCGGGGGAGGGAGGTCAGGGGTGATTACTCCTCCCCTTTCTGGCTAAAGTAGGGGCTGGAATTCTTTTGCCATGCCCTGCCATGCCCTGTCATGCCCCGTCAGAGCAGGTATTGACCCCCTCTCTGCCTGGCAGGGGATACCATCGCCAGTGTCAACGGCTTGAATGTGGAAGGCATCCGGCATCGAGAGATTGTTGACATCATTAAGGCATCTGGCAACATTCTCAGGTATGTCTAGGTGCTGTGGCGCCTGAGGATTCCTGATCTCAGCCTCTTGGTGTTTCCTCAGCCTGCGGCTCACTCAGCTTTGATTCCCCACTTCCTCAGACTGGAAACTCTGTATGGGACATCAATTCGGAAGGCAGAACTGGAGGCTCGTCTGCAGTACCTGAAGGTAAGAGAGCCCAGGTAATGTCCAGCCCCTGCCCTCCTCTGCCCAAATCCCTGCCCTTCAGGTCCACTCCTTTTTAGGGGCTCATTTATCTGTCTGAACCTCCTTTAACCTTAAGGTTTCTCTCGTCCACTCCCTGATCCCTTGGTCTGCACCCACATGCTGCTAGCTTCCTGCTAGCTCCTGACAGTGGATGGGGGTTGTCTCTCGCAGCAAACCCTTTATGAGAAGTGGGGCGAGTACAGGTCCCTGATGGTGCAGGAGCAGAGGCTGGTGCATGGTGAGTAGACGGGGTGTGTGAAGGACCACTTGCTCCCCTACTGACACCCCTCCCAGAACTAGTGGGTTACTTCCCCTTCCAAAGTGAAGCAAGGTTTGTTGAGCTACTACTTGGGTACAATACTGGCCCGGGCTGATGCACACTCATTTTTAGTGATTCTCACAGTGGCCCTCTGAAGGTAAGCATTAGATAGTATCCTCTCCACTTTACAGATGGGAACACCAGGGCTCAAAGAGCTTGTTCCAATCCTTTCCGTGGCCCTTGTGTCATAAGTGGTCCTCCTAAGGCTCTGCGTTATAATTCGTGTTTTACAGACGGAGAGGTAGGGGCTCAGGGTTGTGACTTGCAAGGGAGGGCCCTACAGACAGACGGTCAATAGGAAGGAACTGGGATCTCCCACCTGCGCCCTCTGGCCCTTTGCAGGGCACACTTCCGGCCCCAGGCCTGAGGGCCGTCCCTTGTGTCTTCTGCCCCGGCAGGCCTCGTGGTGAAAGACCCGAGCATCTACGACACGCTGGAGTCGGTGCGCTCCTGCCTCTACGGTGCCGGCCTGCTCCCGGGCTCGCTGCCCTTCGGGCCTCTGCTGGCCGCGCCCGGGGGTCCCCGCGGAGGCGTCCGCGCCGACGACGCCGTCTACCACACGTGCTTCTTCCGGGGCGCCGAGCCGCCCGCG